AGAGGATTTATTTGCGTGAGAAAATAAAAAAATGCCTTTATTAAGGCTACTTCTAAAGATACTCTTAATAGTTATTTTTCCTTTTCTCAAGTGAATTTTTCTTTACTGGTAACCCTGTAATATACTGGTCTCACGGGGATATCAGTCAAGCACTGACCCTTCGCAGCTTAAGCCTGAAAGCTTGTCGCTACTTGCCTGATAAAAGTAAATTTCCTTTTCCGCCTATCAGTACACTGCATCGTTGGATTTCTAAGCTCAATGTGGAACCAGGGGTGTTGCATGCAGCTCTGCAACTGTTGTACCATAAATGTGAGTCTATGGATGACTGTGAATGTCTACGTATTTTATCTTTTGATGAAACAAGTGTGAGTGAAGGTAACTTTTGTCATGTGATGTCATAACTTCTGTCACCTCACCTTACACCTGCCCTAATTACCACTCTCCTCTATACTATGGCGTCAGTGACGGTAACGCTTGTCGTGTGAGGTCATAACTCCTGTCACCTCATTTCTACATTATTAAAACGAGTATATTGAGCGCAACAGGGAGAAAGGGATCTCTTGTAGGTAACTGTACATATAGCTATAACTTACTTATCATAGGCTACATTTATTTAAATACAAAGGTAGAATTAAAATGCATTGTTTTTCTTTTAACATTTCTTTGTCTGGTACTGAATATACATGCTGTACAGGTATATTCTTTATCACCCACTACACTGATTGGTGTCCTTAACTCGTTAGATGCAAAGTTAGACACTCTACTAGTATTATTTTCTATGTGAGATACAGAGATAACAAAGAATAGTATTTAGAACCTTAAAATGTTTATAAGGGATGAAAGGTAGTCGAGGGAACGAGGGAGTCAACCCGTTGATGTTAGCAAAGCTCCACCCACCTGCCCGCGGGTTGACCTCCTCTTCTATAGACCTTGGATACAGACATAATTGTGACATTTGTTGGGCTGTTCTTCTTGAGAGCAACTATACGAGGATGCTCTCACATGTGGGTAGCATTTGGAAGAGGAAGAAAATTTAGAAAACTAATGGTTAAAGGAATTCTGATCTTCCATGCCTTTACAGGCATGGTCTGCTTGGAAAACTTGGTCGGAGATGCCCGATGTGACAGAGGCATTTGTATACATATGAGATCCCCATTTATTGAAATGGTTGCTGCTAGACCAGAGTTTAAGGTGTTGGCGGAAGTTCGTCATCACAATGTATGACAACTCAAGTAAACCAAAGTCTGGGAATGATGAAAGGAGAAAGAATTCACAGAGAAGAGCTGTCTTGGGCCACCTTCCACCAACACTGGACGCACTGTTGCAACACGTCAAGCGTAACATTAAACAGGCAGGCTAAAAGGCCTTTGAGTTGCGTAGCACAGTCAGAAGTGTCCTCTCTCCCAAGAAGACTTTGGATGACTGTTCGATGACAATGATTGTAAAAGGTCTGTCCTGTTGTCAAAGATTCCTGAAGCTTGAGAGGCGTGTCGGGAGTTCATTCGTTGCTGCTGTAAAAGTAGTTTGTCATGTGCAGTTCGTTGTACAATAAATAAAAGCTGGCCTACGTTGCACAGAACGTGCACATTTTCGTGTTTAGTAGACTATCTCCACTAACCCCTTCACTAAGGGTCGCCACTTTTTATGTCTTGTTTGGCTAACGCCAGATGATTTTGTTCAGCTCAGAGGGGCACCTGTACACAAGGAGTTAAATGCGTGACACCTGACCTTAAACTGAAGCTAAAAAGAACTAATAGGTTAAGGTCACTATTATCATGATTAGTGTGGAAATGAAGGTGTGTAGAAAGTGATGTAGGTCGTGAGACAACTGAGCAACTGTGGTAGCCTGTAGTCAGCCTTGCGTGACTGACGCCGCGAGTTCACTCATTATTGTTTACATGACTGGGCAACATGGACACACCCACTCAGTCTTCCATAACAAATCGCAGAACCATGTGAGGAGGACATGATAGAGAGGCATTTAATGTGAGTCTCATAACTCCTTGAGACAAATAATATTAATAATGTATATAAGAGCTGATGCAACTGTCATACGTAAATCACTTTCACTAACTTACTATCAGTATATATTTATCACCATAATGGTCACCCGTCTCCTACATGTGTGAAGACAACCTTCCCTAAGGCCACCTAGACCATGTGTGAAGGTGTAGACCCTATCCTTCAGTACAACATCAGCACTCTGAGATAACCCAGGGAGACCAGCAAAATTCGTCAACCGGCACTGGTAAACCACCTAGTACTCGATCCGCTCATCAATTAATAATTAAGTCTCCAGCCACTGCTAGGTACACAATATATGCGTGTAGAGAGAGAGAGAGAGAGAGAGAGAGATAAAAATACAGTGTGTCCGTATGCATGCGAGTCAAACACGAGCTCTCACAGTATAAGAGGTAATTAAGGAAATGTTAAGATACGCCAGAAAAAAAGATCTACAGGAATATGAAAGGTTGAGGTGGGGGTAAAAGGTTGCCGTAGTCAATGCTATAATTATTGTCGAGCGGAGAGAGGAGGCTAGGCGACAAAACAATACTCGACTGTGGTAAAAAAAATAATGTATTAACTGCAGTGAGGAGAGAGAGAGAGGCTGTCCTGGGGTTCTTAGTAGTCCTGCATCACAATTTTCCACGTAGACGACAGACCTAGAGTTAGGGCCTAAAGCTGACAACCAAACTGTCATTAGACCCAACCAGAGATCAATTTGTCTTCTTTCTTCCGAAAAGATAATTTTTAACATGGGAACCTTTGAAAATCTTAACCCAAAGAAAGTTTTTTGGATATCTGAGAGGACGACAGACCGCAGCATAATTTTCTTTTTTAAATTTGGAGGAAACATCGAGTGATGGAATAACTAACGGGACTTGTTAGCAGCAGCACGGGTGCAGTCCAGTGATACAGTAGCAACTAAGCTGTAAACATCCGCTACATGAGTTAAAGAGACAGTGAATGATGGGTCAATGTGTGTTATCTTTGATCCGTGCTACCATACACCATGACCAGAGAAGTAGTAGGCAGCTACCAAACAGGGAGGTACTACAACCTGGGAAGATATTGGAACTATAATGTATTGCCTAATGGTGGACCCTGCCGCCATATGGCATCACAAAAATTGTGACCAAGTCCCAGGTTGTTGATCTGACTTTCTGCCTCAGATACACACAATTGCAGGGTCTCAATTGTTTTTCTTACTATTGACAACACAACATACATAATTATATCGTTTCTCACTTTTGATCTTTTTTTTCATTTTTGTGTTTACTTATGGTTCTTTATTATTATTATTATTATTATTATTATTATTATTATTATTATTATTATTAATTATCATTAATTATCATTATTATTATTACAGTTTTGCCCCCAGGCCCCGATGTGGGTCATTGACCTGTGCCCGGGTGGGCTAATCCCCGTACAAAAAAAATAAATAAAAAATAAATAAAAACTTGAAGGAGGAAAACAAAGGATTCACTTTACAATATTTTCTATGCAGGTTAAAGATTTAAGAAAGTGTGTGTGTGTGTGTGTGTGTGTGTGTGTGTGTGTGTGTGTGTGTGTGTGTGTGTGGAGTAGATCAATTTGCTGTCTTAGTTCTTTCCCCCCACTCCCACCCCGCGCTCCCTTCTCTTTAGATGACTGTATCTCTGCACCTTCCCTACACATACCATGAGTACAGATAATATATTAATCCAGAATAGATATTTGGAAGACTCGCATTCTTAAAGGTACGTGAATAACATTGTCTCGTTTCTCTTGACCCACAACAGTAGACAAAGCAGGTAATAACCACAGAATTTTTATCATATGATGGCTGGGTGTTACTGAGCACGTTCACCGAGCTCGTTCACCTGGATTGCTGTTCTTATGCCTCCTGCACGTTTACAACTACCGGTGCGGGAAAGTTTTTACCTTGCATATCTATGGGAAACATCTTATCGTACAGCTACAAGTGATTAACTGTACACAGGTATCTGGTACAGGTAGAAGGGTCAGCAGCAGGTAAGGTTGGTCACCATGCCATGGGAACAGCAGGTAAGGTTGGTCACCATACCATGGTAAGAGCAGGTAAGGTTGGTCACCATACCATGGTAACAGCAGGTAAGGTTGGTCACCATGCCATAGTAACAGCAGGTAAGGTTGGTCACCATGCCATGGGAACAGCAGGTAAGGTTGGTCACCATGCCATGGGAACAGCAGGTAAGGTTGGTCACCATGCCATGGGAACAGCAGGGTCAGATTATTCTTGGAGGTTAAAGCCAGATTAAAACTTAGTTCAACCGCCAGTGTAACCGTAGCCAGTCATCTCTCTGCTACTCTGTTTTGCTGCTTCTCGTTGTAACGACATTATATATATATATATATATATATATATATATATATATATATATATATATATATATATATATATATATATATATATATTAGCGTTCCTGGTCACAGTCATGGCCGTGGGCCGGGGTTCGAATCCTGGCGCGGGTTGTTAATTGTTGATTGTATATATATATATATATATATATATATATATATATATATATATATATATATATATATATATATATATATATATATATGAATATGAAAGAAAAAAAATTTCAAGAGGTATATTCGTTATGTCAGGTATATATATATATATATATATATATATATATATATATATATATATATATATATATATATATATATATATATATATATATATATATGAAAAAAAAATTTCAAGAGGTATATTATATATATATATATATATATATATATATATATATATATATATATATATATATATATATATATATATATATATATATATCGTTACAAAGTGGTTGCCTCTGGCACTGCAGTTAAACATAATCACAACTTCTTTGTTAATCTTTGTTTCTACTTTTCATAATGAATTCAGAATTACAGTCACGAAGCTGTGATTACATCAATATTTTATAACTACATATTTGGTGAAACTTAAACAAAACCATCAAAACAACATAAACGTTACAAGTTAAGTTTTTCTTAAAAAAAACTGCTCGTAGATCCTTATATACAAATTATAAAAATAGTTCTTCTTTGAACTTAAAATGGTGTGTTTGTATACATGGCTGACTGTCTAACACTTTTGTTTTGCGCATGTGTATGTAGTGTCTTTCTTTAGTGCAAGTCTATCAGTTTGCGTCAACGTACGTCACCAACTGGATGCTTTATGGATTAATTACCGGTTCCAGGCAAGGTGAAGAAGGCATTACCGTAGCTGGCCCTCCCCGAGCCTTGGGTGCCAGTGTTTACCTCGGTAGATAATTTCTGGCCATAGTTGATAGAAGACGAGTCAGTGGAAGTAAAGAGGACAGGTGGAGAAGCAGCGGCTGGGACGAGACGTACTTCATCGCCGTTAACTAGTGTTGGAAAATCCGCTTTTGCAATGTCGTTCATAAGACGAAAGTATGCAGGCAGGATCTCCTTGGTCCGGTCCAGTCTTTCTAGCTCTTCGGGCCTCAGTTCCCTGCCCTCAGCTTTAGCCGAGATTTTTAGTATCTTCTCGGTGATGGGAAGGAAGGACATAATGATGTCTTCCATAACTTTCAAGCTAACAGGGTCCGCTGATGGGTCGCGCCTACTGGTAATCCTTTGAAACACTTCCCTAATTTCAGGAAGGACGTCAATGGTGGCGCTTACCATGTTCTCGAAGGGTCCAAGGTCTGCCTGGTTTGGCTCTGGGTGAGACACCTCCAGGACTCCGTAGCTCTGGGGAACTGCTTTTACTGCGCAGGCGCACAGACACACAGAAGAGAGCACGACCTGTAAAAATAATCCTCATGTTAATTAAACGTTTCTCACCAGTAATTTTGTCGATTGCCAGTGTGGGAATATATTTTCGTCACCAAAATAGGTCCCGTTGACTTCTGTGTGTGTGCAGCAGAGCCTCGGACAGCGGTAATAGTTCACAAGTACAGTAAACTGTACAAGTACAACAGTGTTTCACATGGCTCCAAACACAAGGCAAGTAAAATAAAGCATAGATCAAGAAATGTTTTGTTTTGTTTTGCCTTACTTACATATCTTGTGTCTTCTTGCCAATACTACCGGTAATGTTACTTCCACTACTACTGTAATAATAATAATAATAATAATAATAATAATAATAATAATAATAATAATAATATATTCATAATTATTATAATAACAACAACAGGATGAAAGAAATGGATCACTCTTAGATATAAGCGCTGGTTGAAGTACGTGGCTTTATTCCACTACCTGTGCACTAAGCCAGTTATCGTCACACAAGTTACCATTACACTACAGAACAACGATTCAGACATTACTTTTGGTCAAACTCTTAACTTACAGTTAGGCCTGAGCTATTGCTTAATAGTATCCATGATGAGAACTCGTGGTTACAGCTCAAGTTTTCCTCCCAAACCCATCAATCATCAAGCGATTTTTAGTTTAGTGACCCCGCTTAAAATCACACCCTCAAACAAAGACCATTAATAACTTCCTTTGCATCCATTCTCACTTATGTCCACCAGAGAACCACTGTAGACAAATAGAACGGGGAAAGTTGCATGACAATCCAATAAGTTTAACTTTCTAAGGTAGGGAAGGACTCACCTGGAAGAACATGTTGCCTTTGGATCCTTCAGTGCAATAGTGTGGTGGATGAGGTAAGGCGCTCGCTTATATACTGTACTGCTTGCTAGCCAGCACGACCAAGGGCGAATGTAGGGTATTTTTTCAGGAACGTTGAACGTTTCAGAAGCTACATGTGCTGAAAAAAGTAGTAGTTGGTTTTCAGTAAGAACATATATTTTGCTGAACTAATATAAAAACAGATGTATAGAGCTAACTTCTCCACACAGAAACATATAAGACAATTTATATATATAACTGGCTTACCTGGCTTGGGCAGCCTAGCCCCGAGCACACGTTGCCCTTCCAGACACAGTAAAACATTCCGCACCATAATATTTTGTTCGTATGTTCTATAAAAAAGTAAATAATGTAATGTAAGAAAACTACCCCCTCCACACACACACACACACACACATGCAGTAACACTCAAACGTAGACGTGATTTCGAGGATTCCCCCACACGACGTACTGCAAACTGGTTATATTCCTGACCTTATAAACCGGATATTCTCGCTTTAGTTTGATTTAACTTGTGATCTATAAAGTAATTTACCAACATGTAATTTTATCTGGTTATGTTTCATGTAATCAGCTAAATCTTCTTTCCCTTTGGCTTATATTCTGTAATAATAATAATAATGATAATGATAATAATAATAATAAACGGCAGTCAGAGGCTGAACACATACTCTACACTGGACAAATATGACAAATACTATAAGGTTAAGTGACATTTGGGAGTGAGTTGTTGAACAAAAACTTTCATTACAAAAAATAGAGACAAGGAGTAAACTAACAAGTTAACTATGAGTCACAGTCAGTTTGGTGTTGTGGAGGATATCACGTGGTTGTGGTCCTTCCCTCTCCTGTGGTGTTGTGGAGGATATCATGTGGTCGTGGTACTTCCTTCTCCTGTGGTGTTGTGGAGGATATCATGTGGTTGTGGTACTTCCCTCTCCTGTGGTGTTGTGGAAGATATCATGTGGTCGTGGTACTTCCCTCTCCTGTGGTGTTGTGAAGGATATCATGTGGTCGTAGTACTTCCCTCTCCTGTGGTGTTGTAGAGAATATCATGTGGTTGTGGTACTTCCCTCTCCTGTGGTGTTGTAGAGGATATCATGTGGTGGTGGTACTTCCCTCTCCTGTGGTATTGTAGAGGATATCATGTGGTTGTGGCACTTCCCTCTCCTGTGGTGTTGTAGAGGATATCATGTGGTGGTGGTACTTCCCTCTCCTGTGGTGTTGTAGAGGATATCATGTGGTGGTGGTACTTCCCTCTCCTGTGGTGTTGTAGAGGATATCATGGGTTGTGGTACTTCCCTCTCCTGTGGTGTTGTAGAGGATATCATGTGGTGGTGGTACTTCCCTCTCCTGTGGTGTTGTAGAGGACATCATGTGGTGGTGGTACTTCCCTCTCCTGTGGTGTTGTAGAGGATATCATGTGGTGGTGGTACTTCCCTCTCCTGTGGTGTTGTAGAGGACATCATGTGGTGGTGGTACTTCCCTCTCCTGTGGTGTTGTAGAGGATATCATGTGGTGGTGGTACTTCCCTCTCCTGTGGTGTTGTAGAGGATATCATGTGGTTGTGGTACTTCCCTCTCCTGTGGTGTTGTAGAGGATATCATGTGGTTGTGGTACTTCCCTCTCCTGTGGTGTTGTAGAGGATATCATGTGGTGGTGATACTTCCCTCTCCTGTGGTGTTGTAGAGGATATCATGTGGTTGTGGTACTTTCCTCTCCTGTGGTGTTGTGTAGGATATCATGTGGTTGTGGTACTTCCCTCTCCTGTGGTGTTGTAGAGGATATCATGTGGTGTGGTACTTCCTCTCCTGTGGTGTTGTAGAGGATATCATGTGGTTGTGGTACTTCCTCTCCTGTGGTGTTGTAGAGATATCATGTGGTTGTGGTACTTCCCTCTCCTGTGGTGTTGTAGAGGATATCATGTGGTTGTGGTACTTCCCTCTCCTGTGGTGTTGTAGAGGATATCATGTGGTTGTGGTACTTCCTCTCCTGTGGTGTTGTGTAGGATATCATGTGGTTGTGGTACTTCCCTCTCCTGTGGTGTTGTAGAGGATATCATGTGGTTGTGGTACTTCCCTCTCCTGTGGTGTTGTAGAGGATATCATGTGGTTGTGGTACTTCCCTCTCCTGTGGTGTTGTGTAGGATATCATGTGGTTGTGGTACTTCCCTCTCCTGTGGTGTTGTAGAGGATATCATGTGGTTGTGGTACTTCCCTCTCCTGTGGTGTTGTAGAGGATATCATGTGGTTGTGGTACTTCCCTCTCCTGTGGTGTTGTGTAGGATATCATGTGGTTGTGGTACTTCCCTCTCCTGTGGTGTTGTAGAGGATATCATGTGGTTGTGGTACTTCCTCTCCTGTGGTGTTGTGTAGGATATCATGTGGTTGTGCTTCCCTCTCCTGTGGTGTTGTAGAGGATATCATGTGGTTGTGGTACTTCCCTCTCCTGTGGTGTTGTAGAGGATATCATGTGGTTGTGGTACTTCCCTCGCCTGTGGTGTTGTAGAGGATATCATGTGGTTGTGGTACTTCTCTCTCCTGTGGTGTTGTAGAGGATATCATGTGGTTGTGGTACTTCCCTCTCCTGTGGTGTTGTGTAGGATATCATGTGGTTGTGGTACTTCCCTCTCCTGTGGTGTTGTAGAGGATATCATGTGGTTGTGGTACTTCCCTCTCCTGTGGTGTTGTAGAGGATATCATGTGGTTGTGGTACTTCCCTCGCCTGTGGTGTTGTAGAGGATATCATGTGGTTGTGGTACTTCTCTCTCCTGTGGTGTTGTAGAGGATATCATGTGGTTGCAGTAACAGAGACGCCGGCGGTGTGGTGGATGAAGAAGTCACGTATTTGTCACAGTACCTCCTTTCCGGTGTGTCGTAAATAATTGTAAACACTGACCATTGACACCGGTAAGAGTGTTCCCACGGACCACTTCACTGATTTAACACCTTGTTGATTCCTTTTCGATGTGAAATTGTTACTCCCATGTCTATGATGAATTGATCGTCAATCTTTCCACCGTTGGGGGGACGGGGAGAGTCGACAAAATACTAACAACTCACCCAGAACGCTCCTAAGTACGTGCTGACAGTAGGTGGGCAGATGTGTGTGTGTGTGTGTGTGTGTGTTTATTACCTTGACTGGCGCCTGTCCCGGTGTGTCCTCAAATACTGTTGATTCCTGAGCCTTTTTTTTTTTTTAGATTGCCTCCGAGGGGGCTAGTTCATTGGGCACCCCATTACATCCTGTGCAAGGTGAAGCGCAGAAGCGTTTACAGCGCCCACCTGGGAAGCATGCGTAGCTCATGCTTGCCTTTATGACTCATGCATTAAGGGCTTAAAAGCCTGAAGGGTCATGGATTTTGTCAGCAAGTTACATAAAGTGACAGAATGATGAGTGTGTGGAGGAAAATTCCCGGTACAATTTATCTGTTTATGGCAAAGTATGGCAGGGGGGTGTCGAAACTTTGGATTGTGGCTGTACAGCCCCCCCCCGAAAAAAAAATTTAATTATATATATATATATATATATATATATATATATATATATATATATATATATATATATATATATATATATATATATATATATATATTGGATTACTTATCTAGGTTAGTAGTTCTACTAGTACTTTTATTCGATTACAAAATCTTCGTAATTTGACCACTGGAGGAAAATGGAGGAAAATGCAGCGGGGCTGTTGGTCCACACTTGGCAGCCCTGTTTACACCCAACCTATATAATATACGGTGCAGTAGTACCACGTTGGAAACATTTTCTTGTTTGATCAGTGAAGTTAAGCAACCTGAGTCTGGTTAATACTTGGATGGGTGACCGCCTGGCCCTAAGAACACCAGATGTTGCTGACATAAAGACTAGACTAGATACAAGCTTTTCGTGGCTAGTCAGCTGTCCTTGGTCAAATTGACTGAATATAAAAAATATAAAAAATATAAACATTATATCTGTCCAACCAATATTTCAAATTTCCTAGTGAGTTTGATTTAATGGAGGTGTTTAGTAACTTGTTCCACTCATTCACTTCTCTGTTTACCTAGTGTCTTACCCTTAAATCTAAATTTGTCGAATTTAAAAACAGTACTAAGTGTTCCCCCCCCTGGCTTGATAGCTTAAGTACCTTTGTTATATGGGCGTGAGATAACCGATATGGTGTATGGGCGTGTGATGACCAACGTGGTGTATGGGCGTGAGATAACCGATGTGGTGTATGGGCGTGAGATGACCGACGATTCACAATGTATTTCCCGTATAGTGATGTTTACAAACCATACCCCAAGGTCATTCGTGAGGACCTGTTGTCTCTACCATGGAATCAGCTGAGTGGTATGACGAGACGCTAATGCAGGGAGGAGATGGGGATATTGCAATGAATCTGTTTTGTGTTATGGTTAATAGTGATAAAACATTTAAATGCAATACAGATGCCAGAACGAGAGAAAAAATTAACAAGAGGAAAGTTTTAAGAGAAAAGATAACAAATATTAAAACAGGTATAGAAAATTAACACGAGGAAGGAAAGTAAACATTAAAAAGATATCTTATTGTAAAGGAAAGAATCAAGAATCCGATACATTAAAAATAAGTGTTAGATCAGAGAAAATAAGAAGGTAAAGGCGTAAAGAATAGAATGTTGGCAAGCCTGGAGGTTATTTCCAAAAGTTGAACAGAGATGAAATTTACTAGTAAAAGAAATGGAGTTTAATGATAAATAAATGTTAGAAATGTAAGATTATAACGATAGTAGCTTTGTTTGGGGGATGTTGAGCCGGGTAGCGTATAGAACTGGTACTCTGAGTCAGGTTGAAGTCAGGAAGGAGAGAGAGAGAGAGAGGCAGGGTCAGGAGAACTAAAGGTAGCATACATTATATTTTTCGTTCTCTTGCTCTCCGCTCGGTCCTAATTTAATCCATGTCATAATGCTTATTTACAGAGAAGAATTTTTTGTAAACTCTGCTTTGAGACGGTTTTTGAAAATACATTCCTTTACATTGCTTTTATTCAGTCATCAATTTCTGTTTACCTGTCGCGGAAAATTAAATTACTGTATGTGTTATATTCTTCTTCAGCAATGGTTCGTAGAGCAGTTCATTCACACAGGGACATCAGGAAAAACTGTAAAACAAACTCAAAGTAATGTACCGCACACCAACATGCATCCAATTTGCACTCTCTTTACAAAAATAACGTATACTTAAGTCCAAGGCTCAGCATGTAACCTCATTGACTCCTCCCACCTCACTAACCTGACATTACTGCTGCAGTGCTGCACTATTGTCGCCTTGAGCCATTCTTCACTCACCTGCATGTAACATGCAATGACAATTATTTTTGTTGCAACTAAGCTGCCTTAAGCACTTTCAGTGATCACGCAACAGCTTTTTTTAAAAGCCTTACCGCAACACTGCCTGATGCACCTTGGGAGAGGTTTGAGTATTCTTTAAATATTTGTAATCGAACGTAACAAGTCGAAAAATATTACACAAACTCTTTGTAATGGAAAATAAAAAAATATATTTTTTTATGTAATAGGCGTTTAGGTTTAGGGGGAAATAGGAAGGAACTGGTTCACAAACAGGGTGGTGGACGAATGGAACAAGTTTAACAACATATGTTACTGTTTGTCCACGCTGCAGCCAATTACCTGCAGCAGAGTAATGGTCAGAACTTTCAGTTACACGTCCAGATGAATCTAAGTCCTGGGGAATTTTTTCTTTCAGTGTTTCAAGTCACTATTAATTTTTAACTCTCAGGTCAGTTTTTCAGTGGCCAGTCGAGTTTACAAAACATTTTAAGTTGAACTCATTCAAGGGAAAAGCCAACGTGACGTCTCGAGGCACTTGACCAACATTATATCATTACTGCACTCAAACAATTATGGTATTTAAGGGCGTAACAAGGTCAGTAATTACACTATTACATCAACAATTAAAGATTATGAGAGATTAAACTCTCGAGGATTTAACCAACAACTTCAGAGCAACAGTAACTCAACATCTTTAGGCCTAAAACTATAGAGTTAATATATTTATGCTCGATTTTCGATGTGTTTCTGAATTCTTGGACTTTGTTTATATATATTAGACCTCAAATCTAACCAGGTGAAGAACTAAGGTCGACGACTCACCTGAGAGCGAAGTATGGATAATGGATGGTCAGGTGGTCAGAGATGGAGTGTGTCGACCACGGAGGAAACACTGCTTATGTAACCTTTTGGTCATTTACCTTCTCCACCACTCGAAGGTTAACCTCTTTCACATACAAGAGCAGATTGTGAAATTTTACTGGTGATACTGTCACTTACTATAAAAATGTCAAACTTTCTCCAACTAGCATTAAAATCGCCGAATTTATCTCGATAAAAAACAAAAACCTATGTCTAAAAACCCGTTCAAGTTTTACGTAAGATATCAACGATGTGTAGGCCAATTATAATTGTTACCCCTCGTTTTCGAGGGTGGCCACTGGCCGGCCCAAGGGCCACCTAGGCCTGATTTTGTTCAAGCTTTAGAAGCTGTCGCCAACACAACAACCACACCCTATGTTAACGAGTTGCATGACCCAGTGTCAGGGAATAATCAGAGAAGATCGATCAACTCTCCAACTGCACTGGCTAACACGATCAGCAAATCGATTAATATCCAGGTCCCCAATTACTGCTAGGTAGACAGACAAATGGCGGGTCATAATACAGGTATAAGTTCAAGTGGGCAGTTACCGTTTTGTTTTACAGTTGTTGCCTATGAACTCTAAGGGCGTAGTGTAGGTTAGTATATACACTAGTCGTTAACAATAAACAAAAACTAAGAGATAGTATCAGAGGCTACGTGCCAAATAAGGTTAAGTTTTATAGTATTGTAGGTAATCATCAGCTTGACGTATGTTAACATACACGAACACATAACCCATTCTAAACTTTTCAGTAACCAGCTATTGGTCTCGTGTTAAAGATAATATAACAAGTACCAATCGTCAGTGGTACATGGAACCTTATACGCACTATTCCTCAGCCACTTCCAACGGGAATGTCCAGTTTTTCTTCTCATCTTCTCTTAACTAGTAATTATGCCGAACCTGTGTCCACCATCCCAAGTCCTGCGGTCACCCTCTTTACATCTTCTTATAAAAATAAAGATAATTTTCTTTGTTTTCTTTTTTCTTCTTCTTACAAACGGGGAATGAACAGTGATGCATTTTCCTCTGCTGGCTGCCGACCGAAGGAACACTCATTCAGCACTGCGAAACCTCAAACTATTAGATACTATGCGGCCTTGGTTATATATGGTGAAAGTGCCGATGTGCATTATTATTTACCAGAAACTCAACAAGAATACCCTATACTGAGAGAGAACGCTACCATGTCACTGCCATTTATTGTCAGCCTATTGGTACAACACAACAACCCTCATATCAAATTTCTAAATATTTTTTCCTTAGTTGAATGGTGAATGGATTTTTTTCTCTCGTTAATATTTATCCCTGTATAAAAAGTGAATAAAGACAAAGAATAATGTTGAAACTCGTGAAGACATGAAGAAAAACGATTCTCATACCCATATTTTTCCTTCTCTTTCTTCCTGCGTCTTCTCCCCTTCATTGTGTGTCTTCTCTTTATCACTATTGAAATGTATGCCTTTGAGATGTTTAAGTGGATACAGCACTCGGCTCCTCTCCTAAAGGCACACTGGTTCAAGCCTGAGTCCCCCATAGTACTATCGTGGACAAAAGTTCGCTCCCTGTAGTGAAACTGAGACACGGGAATGAGTCTCCGAACTGACTTACCCTGATTGTTATCTGGTGCGGGTGTGCTGTGCGGGTCGATACTGCTTCAGTTTGGGAAGGAGCGAACTTTTGTCCACGATAGTACACCTAGACTACCTACCCCAAGATCAATAGGCTTTGGCATGAAAAGAAAAAATATGTAGCTGAATTTTACAGAATATCCAAAAATTTCCAAGTTTCCTCTGTCTTTTTGTTAAGTGAGTTACACAAATATTTGATATACCCGGAAACTAAAAATCAATGTTTTCAAAATTATAAAAAAAATATTATTTAGTTAAGAGCTCATATATTATGTCAACATATAATTAATTCCTTTCAAAATCATTCCTATTATTCATTTTCTTACAGTAAACGTAGATAAGATAATGAAACGGTAAAGATCTACTGATAACATAAAATTTGTATAATAGAGTGTCATCCACCTGGTGAAAATAGTGGCCCAATTAGTTTAAACTGAGGCATATTGTAGTCGAGACCACTTACTCCAAGAGCGAGACAAAGGCCGAGACCTACAATTCGAGATCGAGACGTATTTTCTAAGACCGAGGCCCTGAGACCTCGAAACCAAGCTCGAGACCAAACACAATTTCTGCATTTAATTTTATGTCTGTGCATAAGGCAAAATTTTAGGATAAGTTCTTGAGTCATAAATTAGGGTCTTGGTACATACAGTTATCATATTTTCGAGAGGCTTAAATTCACGATTGGTAGAATAGTCATTGGTATCTTGATTCGAACTCGTTAATTATCAGAGATTGGCTGGTAGCAGTAAGATCCCTGTATGACTAAACAAGAGTGCAGGAAGTACTCCATAATTCCCTGTACAACTAAGAAATCATAAATAACTACTTGGCAACTTTTACCTTTGTTTACTAAGCCAAGTAGTAAAATTTTGTGAATGAATGTAACGAGATCTGTAATTGGCTGAGTGACAAGGAGAAAAGATTCTAATCCTGTTCAATACGACTACGCCAAAGACCTTTAATGCAATTCATGTTAATGTTATTCCTCTCCAATTCCCACATTCTCTCAAATCACCTTTCTTGGATAATTTAGTAATGATTCCTAACTTCCCAGTACCTGTATCCCAAATTTCGTGAAATGAATTTAGCAATACCCGAGATGTAACGCCTGTCTACCGTTAACATTTCCCGTTATTCCACCCAGCCCAAGTGTCTTCCAATTTTTCAGTTCTTTTAATGCTTTTTTTTGTTGTCAATTTAGGTCATATTAATATCCATCTTCTGTTCTGAGTCTGATATATCAAGAACGTTAGTATTGTTGAACGCTATATTCCCGTACACGTTCCTCCGACATAATCAAATCACCATTTAGATCTCTGACTGGTAAACCTTGTACTTTCCTTCCAATCCCTGCAATGTCCTTGATTTTATTACATGCAACACCCACTCATTCCATGACCAACACCTGAGTTCAGTGCTTTATCTGCTTCTTCTGTCATATCACCAGAAGTTAATTTCATTACGTAACCTAATTAAGGGCAAAGCTTACCGAACATTTTTTTCTCAAAAACGTTATATTTCACACACATTGTTTCCCTTTTCCCTGTGTGATTTTATCAAGATTTATCTTATTCACGTTTTCATTGTGGATGTACACGAGAGATTTACTTACACACACACACACACATATATATATATATATATATATATATATATATATATATATATATATATATATATATATATATATATATATATATATATATATATATATATATATATATAATGCAGTCTCTCGTCTCGCATCAAGTCCAGCATTGTGTGCATGACTGGTAGTAATGAGGTTCAAGGTCCTTATCAGTTATTTCCAAAGCACCAGTTTATCCTTGTTCTTCACTATTGATCATACACTTGGACGCTATTATTCGGTATGAAAAAAAATATATATATATACTATATATAATAACGGTTTACTTTTTTCCATACTATAGATTTTATTATATTATACTAGTATAGACACTTTAAAGGTAAAATACTGTTATATGTTGTCATGGTTGCTCAAAGACGGAGACTTATTAGCTAATGCTATATTTTCCCAGGTTCGGTCATTTTTTTGCCTAATGGCCCTAGACTAATCATTGTCAGTCTTTCTGATTCTTAGATTTAGTCACCTGAAATCACTACTGTACAATGCGATATATTCTGGTACTCAAAATTCGAAGTCCAATACTTAATCAACTAAAATTGTCTACTATACCTTTGACTACCAAGATTATCTGGAAGGACTGTCATACTCGGATTACCATGCACAGGCTACAGACCCAGGCTATATAGAATGGGCTAGCATGGCTGAACTACCAGATTTAGGGTCACTCTTGAAGGCTACCTGAAGGGCTAACCTTACTTGATCGATGAGAATCAGACTAATTGGGCAAATTTGACTAAAATAACTACCATATGAGGACTATCATCTACAGGCTATTATAGCGAGGCTACTAAGTAGTCTGTAAAGGCCTGGGACTTAAGGATATGAATCCCTTGCCAGCCTAATCAGGATCTTATAAAAGGAAAGTCAAGAACCATGGTTTTCTGAGGGATAACAAACAACCGTTCGAGATTGACATCTCTTTACTATGAAATAACACAAAACTCTGACACCACTCACACAAACATCAAATTACAATTACGAGAGTCAAACAATTAAGAGAATCAAACAATTAAGGGAGTCAAACAATTAGGGAGGTGCCCAAGTGGAGGACGCGAACAAGCAAACGAGCGGCGGGCAACCATCCTGCTCGTAACAGCCCTGACATAGTCTACCATGCATGAACTACTAGATTCAAGCTAGTTGGACACAACTTTTCTCACATCTGGGGTGGCTCTTCTTCTGCCCAACTGTGGAATCAAAACCATTTCCTCTCCTCCTTTAGTTGATAATTTCTCTTCCCTTTCTCTTCGCTGCAATGTTGCTTTACTCTTTCTTTTACGGGTACTTTAACGGGCATTGTTCGGTGGATTTGGCATCCTGTGTACCGCCGGCAAGGCCGTGGGCTCGTAACAATCGTCTTGCCGCCGATACAAAGGGAAGAATTAACGTCTCCAGTAGCTGCAAAACCATGCAGTCTCGGGTCATATCAGTTCATGTACAGCCGACCAATCCACCAGTTACAAGCAATTCACTTCAGTTCTCCACAAGTCTCCATCGTGACAAGACGAGGGGAGGCTAGACGACTTTTAAGTTCTCTTGTGTTTTTGATCCAGTTATTTACTTCGTTGGAAGACATAATACTATAAGGTAAGAAATATTAAAGTATTGGTTAAAAAATATTGATGTGACTTTTGCTGCGGTACTGAGATTAAATATTAAGATTTTGTTTCACAGCATTGCGATTTTATACTAAGACACTATCCTCACTGGGGTACAGACAAAAGCCCCCCCGAAAAAAAGCCACCCAGACAACAGCCCCC